ATGGGTGTATGTAAAGCACTTAGCAAGGTGTTTACAACTGGTGGCCTCTCTGCACCCCTTCCTATCATCTTCTTAGTCCTCAGCTCGGGACTCTGCCCAGCCCTTGGCCCAAGCAGTCTCTCTCTCTCTCTCTTTCCTTATTCTTCCACGCCTTCCCTTGCCTCACATTCTCAAGGAGCCAGAAGTCTAGATTGCCTGGCTATTTGAGAAGAGAAGTTTCGCTGGGCTGGCCTTTGATAAATGAGAGTGGATTATTCATTCTTTTATATGCTCATTTATTCCATTATTTATTAATCACCCACTATGCGCCAGGTACTGCTATAGGCACTGGTGATAGAGCAGTGAGCCAACCAAACAAGGGTTCTGCATTTATGGAGTTCAGGTTCCAGTGGAGATGAAGTCCATCTTCCTTGTGGAGGCCCCTCATACAAGGCTACCCCAGGTCAGCTGAAGACATGGATCTTCAACTCCCACCCATCTGCTCAGCCCTGGGCCACTGCAGAGAACCTGAGAGATTGTGTAATTTTCCCTCTGCCGTCAATCCACTGCTCTTTTTCAGACTGCTAAAATTTGCTGCTTTCTATCAAACAACGGCTCTGGAATCCGAACACCTAGGATGAGAGCCTCATGTTGCTGTTCATTTGCTTTTTGATCTCTAACAAGTTCTGCAACTGCTCTAAGCCTCTGTTTCCTCATCTATCAAATGGGCAGAGGAACAGCACCTACATCACAGGGTCATTGTGAGGATGAAATGACATTACATAGTGTGCTTGAAAGATGCCTGGCACATGGTAAGTGCTCAAGGCAGGATAATGGTACTGTTCTTATTATTATTACTGTTGATACTATTCTCATTACCTGGCCCAGGGTGTCACAGGCCTTTGATTTTGTGCCCAGCTTCAGTTTTGAAAGACATGCCTGTTCTTGGCCCTGTGACCAGTCCAAAATCTATATGGCAGTCTCCCAGGAAGTCTTCGAACTATGGCCCTGGGAAAAGCCTGTCTGAGGTTGAAGCCCATTCTCAGGTGTCCCCAGTAGCTGTTGGAGAGAGCACTGGCTCACTCATTCACCTCCTGTAGGTTTGCCTCCAATTCCCCCTTCTCCAAAAGGCCTGCTCTGACCACTGTCTAAAATTGCCAACCCCCTGCCATACTCCCCATCCACCTTCACTGCTTTCTTTTTCTCCATAACACTTATCACCATCTTTCATACTACATATTTTACTTATTTATACTTTTTTAAAATTGTGGCCTGCCTCTCCCCTCTAGAATGTAAGCAGGAAGAGACTGTCAACTTTGTAGGCCTTAGTAGGCCCCAGTCTGCTGGTTAATAACCACAGGACAGTCTCTGCCTTAATCTTAGCCTCAGTTTTTCTATCAGAACCATGAGGTGGGTGGGACGAGTGGTATCAAAGAGCCTCCTCAGCTCTGACTTAGAACATTTTGTGCTTTTGTGAGGTTCTCGTGGTACACAGAGCAGGGCCCTGGCTTTCACTCAGACTAGCCCATCATAAGAGGTCATGCCTCAAGCTGTCAGGGCTTCCCAGGAGGGTGGCCTGGTCCCCCTTCCAATTGGTATTCTACCTGAGCTCCCGGTCCTGGCTCATGGAACCTCAGTCTGTGCCCACCTTCCCTTTGATGATATTACCATAGGCCATGGTTGGTTGCATGCTCCCCTTAAAGGCAGCATGGCTGGACATGATATGAGCCCATGTTCTTATGAGTTTCCCTCTCTGTTCAAAGGCTGTCTTGTGGTCTACAAATGGGGTGAAACAACCCAATGGTATAGTTAGCTTGTTCAGAGAGCACTAGCTTTGGGGTGTAAGTCCTAACTAGAATTCTGTCTTCCCCTTATTCTGAGCACAAGCCATCTCCTAGGGCTTCACATAGAAAAGGCCAGGAAGGACCTGGCACCTAGCACCCAGCCTTTATCTCTGCCCCACTGCCCTGCCAAGAAACAAGTTCCAGCTGGAGGAGGCAGCTATCTCCATCCTAGCATGGGGCCCTGCCATTCGCAAATTTGACAATATTTCTTAGGTGACTACTGCGTGCCAAGCACTGCTTTAGGGGCTAAGGAGACCATAGTAAGCAAACAGAGACACGGTCTCTGCTCTCTGGCTCCACTTACATTCCTGGGGCAGAGGTGGGACTAATACAGGAGCCTTTCTGAGACCCACAGTTTGCACATATATGGTGGTAGAAGCTATGAGCATGGATAAGGCATCTGAAGAGAATATATACAGTGAGAAGAAAGGGGACTTGGATGGAACCTGAGAAACTCAAACATGTCAGAGGTGGGCAGAGAAAGAGTTGGTAGAGAGGAAGCGATCAGGGGGAGGGGGCTCTTGGGCATTGAGCCAAGATAAGAAAGCAGATTTCCAGAAGGGAGGAACGATCAACCATCAAATGAATCCAGTGAAGGAGAGGGAGGCCCTGGGCAAGGGCTGGGGTTTTGTGATGAAGGAGCAGCGTTGTTGAGCAGTGCACATGGAAGGTAACCTGTCATGGCTCCAGAGCAAAGAGGAGACAGTGAAAGCAAGAAGGGAGGAAAGTAATGTTTATTGAGCATCTACTCCATGTCAGCTCCTCTGCTTGGCCCCCTGTTTGCCTCATTCTTTCATTCATTCAGTCAACAATCTTCCAGGAGCTTCATGAAAGGCAAAGACATAGTTCTCAGGGGGCAGGGGGAGGTATGGGAAATAGAAGCCAGACATGAACCAAAGTATCAGACAAATAAATGTGAAATGACTGCTGGAACATGGTTAGGAAGGAGAAGCATAAGGTGTTACTGAAGTCCTATAATCCTGAACTGAAAGTCAGCCAGCAGGAGCAGTGTGGAAAAGGGGGAAGGAAGAGTGGGTCAAGGCAAGGTTAGAGGCTGGCCAGGGGAGGCTAGATAAGGTTTCACAGACCATCATGAGGGATATTGCCTTTACCCTAAAAGCACAGGAAAGCCACGGAAGGGTTTTAAGCAGGGAATGACATGCTCAAAGTTGTGTTTTGGAAATGTCACACTGGCTGTTGTGTGAAAAGAAGGCAAGAGACCATTTGGGCTTAAGCAATTGGGAAGTAATTTGCCTGAGTCCAGTAAATGATAGTGGTAGCTTGTACTAGAATAGAGACAAAGAAGACTGAAGCAAGTGGATGGATTAAAATATGTTTAGGTATTGTTTACAATAGCAAAAGATTACATATAGCTGGTGCTCACAATTAAGGGACTGGTAAAATAAACGATGGTAGTTCCAATAGTCCTTGTAAACATACTGAGGAAGGTTTCTAAGTGTGGAGCAGAAAGATTGACAAAATACATTGTGAAAAATGCCAGGTACAAAGGGTGTATAGCATTGTATATTTGTGGAAGGAAGGGAGAGCTAAGAATATTTTTCATTTTCCCATAAAGATGCAGGGCAAGGGTACCCCCCTGAGACAGGAAATAAAATGATCAGGATTGGCTATGAGGTTGGTAATGCAGGAGATTTGGAGAATGACTCTCAGGCTGAGGAGTCACACCCGTGTAACTAGATGTAAGGGGTGCCCTTTGCTATGTATGGTGAGGCAGAGCAGAAAGCAGCAGGTTTGGGGAGGAAGATGGTGTGATGGGTTTGGGACAGGATGAGTGAGAAGTACCTTCAAAGAGTGAGTTGAGAAGAGAAAGACAGGGCAGCAGCTGGAAAAGGAAGTAGGGTCAAGGAAGGTGGTTTGTTTGTTTCAGGGGAAGAGACCTGAGCACTTTAAAAGCAATTGGGAAAGATCCAGTTGAAAGGGAGAGTGGTTGTCCTTAAGAAGGAAGGGGTCACTGGCAGGTTCATATTCTCCAGGGAAGGCAGAATGATAAGAGACCCGAAGTACAAATGGAAGTTTGGTCTTAAATAAAAGGAAGTTCCTCTCTTATAATAGGAGGTAACTGGCCAGGGAGAGGAGTCTCAGGAGCATATCTGGCTTCGGCCTTTGGCCCAAAGACTCATGGGGATCCCTACAGCCTAGACACCCCAGCCCTGTATAGATGCCTGAGGTGGGTTCTGTAAAGGTGGTGGTTGGGGAGCCATATCATCCCATCCCAGTCAGCCACTAGGTTCTGCTCTTGACTGATCACCTCCCACACCCCACTCATTACTTTAGACATCTTGCCTTCACAGCAGTACTAGGCGTCATGTTATCATTATTAACTCCATTTTAGAGTTGAGCAAATGAGGCTCAGAAAGACTCACGGTCACATAGCTAGTAAGTGGCTGACCCAAAATGTGGCTTTGCAGCATTCATCTCCTGACTCCCAGACCAATGGAGCCCAGGAGAGGTGCTGGCAGAAGGCCATTTAGGAGATGGGATTAATGAAGCAACCAGACCCAGAGGCTCCAAACATACCTGTGTAACCTGAAAATCCCTCCAGAGTGGTGGTTCTTACCTTGGGGGCCATTTTGCTCTCCTAGCGAACATCTACCAATGCCTGGAGATACATTTAGGTTGCCATAATTTGGAGGGGGACTGCTACTGGCACCCAATAGGTAGAAACCAGGGATGTTGCTGAATGTCCTTCAGTGAATAAGATAGTCCTGACAACCCCGAGGTAGGGGCCAAAGTGCTGAGGTACAGATGGCCTGTTTCAGAAGGTCTGGGGCCAAGCAGCTTGTCATGGAACCCCACCCCCACTCCACAAATGCAAGTATCTTCATTGTTCATTGTTGCTACTGACTTTTTACTTCTGTGATCTACATAGATTGTAAGACATTCCAACAATGTGAGAGTGTTTAAAGTATTCAGTAAAAGCTGTGCCTGCTCCCTCCAGCCTCACTCCCCAGAGATAATCCTTGTTACTGTAACTTCTAGTGAACAGGTTTAACTCCAGAAACAGAAAAAAAAATTTCTCCCTCAACTCTCTCTGTGACCTATTTCTCCTCATTTCTTGGATGAAATCTCCAGAAGATCCATAACTTTTCCAGCCATTTTCAAAGATGCAAAAACCCTCCTCCAATTACTTCAGAAATGAACCCATCCAGCCTTGTCACAGTTGAAACTCCAAACTTCACTAAAAGTTAAAGTGTTTCCCCTTCCTCAGCTGGGCCTGTCAGGCCCTGAAGCAAGACTGCCACAGGGGACAGGGCTGTGCTATCTAGTCTCTGCCTACTGCTTGCAGAGTAAGCCCCTGTCAGGCTATGCCGCCATTTATTTAACCAGTTCCCTACTAATGCTCTATGAGGTTGTTTCCAATTTTTTACTATTATAAGCAATGGTGTAACATACTTGTACAGATGTCTATCTGTACACACTTGTTAAGTGATGTCATTAGGATAAATTCCTGGAAGTCAAAATGCCAAGGTATGCATATTTAAACCAGTGAAACATATTTCCAGATTGTTCTTCACAGCAATTATATCAGTTTATGCTCCTACCAGCAGCGTATGAGAGGGTCCATTAAGAATCTTGGTCTCTCTGTCTCTGTCTCTGTCTCTGTCTCTTCCTCTTTCTCCACAGTGCCTTGCACATGCAAATAAGGCTGGGCTGACATTAACAGTTGAATGGGCATTGGGAGAGTTAGCTGGGCATCCTGAAGCCTATGAGGAAAGTGCAAACTCTTTCTCCCAACCGTCTTCTCCCTCCCCAGTCATCTCATACTCCCCATCCTCTCTTACCCCTCACACTTCTATAGATTCTCTTGAATCTGTCATCTCCTTTCTGTCCATGACCAATGCTGGAATTCAGGCCTTACCATCTCTTTCCCAGTAGAGTTCCTTGCTGGTCTCCACATCTCCAATTTTACCATCTCTGATCCATTCTTGGCACCTCCAGAGTAAAGGTCCTAATATACCATCTGTTCAGCCTCTCTTTCCTCCTTCCAAGGCCGGCTCTCCATGGCCCACTCCATCTTTTCCCTGCTCCTGTCTCATCAATTGAGGAACTTTACCTTCCCCCTTTTTACACTCCAGTCACATAATGCTGTCCTCTGCCTCAAGCACAGCTGAGGACAGGTAAGTTAACTCACAAAGAGCATGATAAGAAGATTGTAGACCTACCTAGAGCATGAGGAGAATCACTTCACTCTGCAAGAGCTCTAGGAACAATTGTGGCTCTGCAGCATTCATTCCTCTCCCTTCTTTAGACTCCTGTTTCCTTTAAGTGAATCGTCTGTGCCTCATTGTGGGTAATGTTGGTTGAATAGTAAATTCATGTGTCAGCCTCCTACCATGGAAGCCAAAGGGACATAGCCTTCCTCTCCCCAGCCCAGTTTAGACAGGGGCAGGCATGGGATTAAGCTTGGTCACTGGACACAGTCTTTGACCTTCAAATCTAGAGCAAGCAGTATAAGAATAGAGGAAACATACTTTTCCATTTCAGTGGAAGCATTCTGATCAAACCATCCTGCTTCCTATGCCTTCCCCCAATGCTGCCTTTGCTTATATCTATTTCCCAACCTGGCCCTCTAGCCTTTTCCTTGATTCTATAAGGTCCCTATAGCTTATCCCAAACCCTATAATTCCCCTTTCTAGAGAGAGAGAGAAATATCAATGTGAGAGCAAAACATCAACTGGCTGCTTCCCTTACAAGGGGTTGTGTACACAACCAGGGCATGTTCCCTGACTGGGAATCAAACCAGCAACCTTTTGGTGCAAGGGATAATGCTCAACCAACTGAGCCACACCAGCCAGGGCACAAATTCACTTTTCTTTTCAGTTAGTCAGAGATGGTTTCTGTTGCTCACAACCAAGGATTTCAGATAGAAAGCCTAGCTCAAATGCCCTTTCCTTGGAGACAGATGGGAGGGGAGAGAGGTAGAAAGGGAGAGATGAAGAGAGAGAGAGAAATACAGACCCAGAGTCCTGGTTCTGCACAAGCAAACTTCTTTATGCATTCCCATAGCACCCTGTGCAAAGTGGCAGCTCACACCAGGGTGTGTTGTTTTTTTTCCTGTCCCGCTCACTAGGGTAGGTTGGTCCTGTGGTCCCACCCTTGTGAGCTCAGAGCTAGCTCAGTGAGAGGTCCAAAGTTACATATTTAAGGCAACAGACATTTAAGGACTAAACTAATGGGCTGGTAGTTCCCCTCCCCCGTTTATCAGCCTCAGTGGCTTGGACAGACTCTCATCAGGCCATAGAAATGATGCCAGCACCTGCCTCCCTCATGAGGCTGGCTGGGAATAACATGGGCTAATTTCTGTTTGGGGCTCTCATTCTGTCTGTGCTGTGGAAGATAGGGAGGAGGAGTAATGAAAGCAGACAGAAGTGGGGGCAGGAAGGTGGCTGTTAGAAACAGCTCAGGTGGAAGATGATGGCAAGCTGGATTAAGATGGTTACTGTGGGCCGAACCGGTTTGGCTCAGTGGATAGAAGTCGGCCTTCGGACTCAAGGGTCCTGGGTTCGATTCCGGTCAAGGGCATGTACCTTGGTTGCGGGCACGTCCCCCTGGGGGGTGTGCAGGAGGCAGCTGATCGATCTCTCTCATCGATGTTTCTGACTTTCTATCCCTCTCCCTTCTACTCTGTAAAAAATCAATAAAATATATTTTAAAAAAAGATGGTTACTGTGGGAATGGAGAGGGGAAGGGACTAACTGAGGAGATCCTGAACTGAGCACTAAAAGTGAATATGAAACTCAATTGTTTCTGGTAATTCTCAAAGCAAAAGCTGGCCACTTGAGATGGCTTACCTCAGGAGGTGGTGAGGGAGCACGTGTGTGTGCGCGCGTGCGCATGGGGGACTGTTAGGGTTGGGTGTTGCACCATCTCCCGCATCCCCCTCCTGCTAACAGCCATGACCATGCTGGCTGCCTGGCCTGTTTTCTAAAGAGCTTCCCCAGACAGCAGGGGAGCTGGCCACCCACTCCACTCGGCAGAGGTGAGCTGAGGAGCATCAGTCCTGCAGGCCCCTCCCTCCCCACACTATAGACTGCCAGGTGCCTTGTTTGTGATGAAAGCTTTTAAAACCCCATGTGCATACATTCACTTTTGTTCATTTACTAATACTCACCAAGCCTGGAGCATGCAATGGTGAGCAAAGCCCTCCATGGACCCTGTTCTCAAGAAGCTACTGAGCTGGCAGGGGAGAAGATGCGTAATCAGGCAATTAGGAACCAGTGTGAGCGGGAGGTAAGCGCTGGTTGCTATGGGAACACAAAGAGAGGCCACAGCTGCTGCTCCTCCGGAAATGCTGTGGCAAGCGAAAAAGGAGGCGTGAAGCAGACCGACCTGCTTGCCAGGCCCAACTCTGTGCAGCCTGGCCAACTAGTCCAGGATGAGAGCTTCTGGCACGACAAAACCTGTCAGCTCTCTGCCCCTGCATTGCCTCACCTAAAAAATGAGAAGACGGTGTGATGCAAAGGCCACATGAAACCATGTATGTCTGTGCCTGGCCCCTGTAGGTCTGTGATATGTTGTAGCTGCTAGGAATATTTTTCAAGAAATATTTGTGGGTTAAAAGTTTTCTGGGCAACTGGACACCAGACATAGAGCTGTGAACAAGATCAATGAGACCTCTGCCCTCACAGAGATTACAGTAATTTGAGAGGAGGGACAGATACGGAAAAAAAATCATGGCACAAGTAATTACTATTGTGATGAGTTTCATGATGCTATAAGGGTGGTTCAGAGTAGGAGCTGGCTTACCCTAGGGTGCCAGGAAGAAAAACTTCCTGGAAGAGGTAACATTTCCGCTAAGATCAGAAGGAAGAGTAGTTAGCAAGCAGGCAAGGAAACTGCATTCCAGTATGGTGAACAGCAAGCAACAGGGAGTTTGGGTCCCTGAAGGAAAGGAGGTCAGTGGAACCTGGGGTGAGCAGACACAACAGAGGTGGGAAGAGGGGAGACTGAAAAGATGGGCAGGGCAAAGTGAATTCAAGCCTCCAGGCTGTGGTAAGGAGTTTGCATTGGCTGCTAGATGACCCCAAAGTCCAGTTGTTACTCTAACTCCCACAGCTGATCAACTCACCATTCAGTACCTGAGGCATGACTGAGCTCCAAGGGCTTTACTCAGAGCCAACATGTAGAAGATTATGGAATATGAGAGCTATCGGAGCCCTTGGAGGGCATTTAGGAGCAAATTTTCATTGTGTGGATGGCAACACTGATGCCTGGAAAGGAAGAAGACTTGCTGGGGGCCCAACTTAAGAGGCAACCTAGTGCCCTTGCCTCTGCAGAAGATCAAGATGGGCTGTTTTGTAGGAGCCATTTTCTCTTCCTCTCAGGGCAACCAGCAGTATTTACAGCTCCTTCTTCCCTTCTTGCACTAACCCTAGTGTTCTTCTTTTCAAAAGGCACATTTTCCATAACCTCAGCTCCCCATTTGCTCATCCTCAACCCTTCTATTGTAAACAGAGCAGGGAGGGGGCAGGGCTTGGCTTCCAGGCAGGGCCCAAAGCAGCTATTCCTAGGCCAGCAATTCATGTCTTCCAGGCTCACTGAAGTTCCTGCCCCTGCCACACCCCCAATTATATTCTGTAGGCAAAGCCCTCCTGGTGACATGGCCGCAGCATTTCCCTGCCCTGGAAGGCCCCAGGAAACACACTGGCAAAGTTGGCATGGGTTTCAGCCATCACCAAATCCAATCTATCCATTGCTGGGATGGGAATAGTGAGGCCCAGGGAGGGGAAGGGATCCATCCAGGGCCTGGCCCAACTTCTTACATGTCAACTAATTGTGTTCTGGCCTTTTGACTCTGCCTGTCCCTGTCCCCACACCCCCATCTGACTCACCCCCAGCCCACCATCTCCTGCACCATCGGCTGACTCCCTTCTCTCTCTGTTGATGGAACCACAGAGGTATAAGGACTGAGGGGAAACCCTATGGAAAGAAGGTGGTCCAGTGCTCCCTGAGTAGAGGCTGCAAGGGTAGGGTGAGGGATCCTGTTTTATTCCTCTCTAATATAGCCAGTGACCCACCCGGGTTAGCCCTCTCTACTCACTCCCTGCATCTCAGGGCAGGGAGCTCAGCTGTAGATCCCGTTAGCTTCTCTGGCCTACACCAGGGAAAATCCCTACCTAGTAAGCCTGTCTTTTATTTGGAAACTAAGGCCACCACATTCCTCTCACATTAGGCCTGGAAGTAGCCAGTTTTAGAGTAGACAGTCCTGGCCTCCAAATTCCAGCTCTGCTACCTCTAGCTGAGTAGACTTGGACAAAGCCCTTACAATCTCTGAGCCTCAGCCTCCTAATTTAAACATAAGAATTGCTACATTACCACTTTGCTGTGAAGATTAAATTAAAGAGCATATTTAAAGTACCTGGCATGTGATAGGTGCTTGACTAATGTTAGTCCTTTCCCCATACTCTGGGCTTGTCCTTCCAGCTCCACACTCAGCAAGCTCTGCCTGATTTCTGCCAGAGATCTTTGGAGTGAGGCTGGGGCCAAATCTTGGCAAGAGTGTCCTGGCTCTGGGGAGAAGTGAAGGGAGCTGTGTCCCCCAGTAGACAGTCTTAATCCTTGAAACCCAGCAGGAGACACACAATAGGAAGCCAAGCCAGGGGAAAAGATGAAGGGTCTGGGAGATTGGAGGAAAGGAGGTGGAGGCAGGTGGCTTCAAAGCCTGTGGGAAGTCAGGACAGAAAGGACAGGGCCAGGCAGCATGGAGGCCCATCTCAATGGTTCAGGAATTGCTAGACAGTTAATAGAGACAAAGAATGAGGCCTCTGGGATGTAGGCTGCTTGGATCTTACTTGTTGACAACTCCTCTTAGCTCGTCCTGGAGCATAGGATCTCTGTTTCACTGGAACCCACCCAGGCTCTAGCTGGGGACTCAGTCCAGCTCCATCACCTGGGACCTCCCATCCATGCTCTGCCCCACTACCTGGGCCAGGCTTAGAGTTCGCTGCCCTCATCTCTGCCTCCCTAAACTAAACCCCTGACACCCTCCTCCACAAGGTTCCCTTTGGGTACATTATTCCCACCAACCCAGAGGCCCCATAACATCTCTGACTTAGACTTTACCAATCGTTCTTCACAAGGAATTCCCCTATGTCTCCAAAATCATCAGCATTAGTTGCCATAAAGAAGCCTTATCTTTGGATCCCAGGATATCTTAGGCTGAAATGTATCCACTGGCTCACCTGGCCTCTATCGCAGCCAGGAGCACCCATCAGAGATGCCAAGCAGGGGTCAGTGAAGTCTGGGGCCAGGAATGGCCCTTAGTCTTCTACTCAGGTAAGGTCTGAGTCCGTGGCCTAGATCAGAGCTGAATCTGTAGCTGGGCTCAGTCTGTTGCCAGGGTATGGGAATTTTTTTGGTTGCAAGCAACAGAATTCAACTGGCTAATTTGGGCAAAAAGTAAGATATTGGGCTGTTTTTTCAGAATTGATGTAAACATGACTCAGTTCCAATGTTCACGGTTTCCCTGTCTCCTTTCAAGTTCCAAATCTCTAGGAGAGAAGTCCAATTGGCCCAGCCTAGGTAAAGAATCTCTGCTCCAGGTGCAGTCAAGTTAGCCATGGTGCAGGGTCACACAATGCCGGTGGAAATCCAGAGAAAGCAATTTGGCACCATCTACTAAAAGTAAAAAGATATGCATCATTTGACCAAGCAATTCTACTTTTGTGACATGATTCCATGAAAATGAAGACCCTGGCACCTAAGGACCTATAAGTACAAAGATGAGTGTAGCAGCATTGTTCATAGTATTTAAACACCCCTGAAAATCCTAATTATCTATCAGTAGTTGATAGCTGAATAGATTATGGCACACCCACATTATGAAATACTAGACAGTCATTGAAAATTAGAGCCATACCAGTTATTTTCAGCTGGTGTTATTTTCTTTTTTTGTTGTTTGGGATTTGACCATCTCTCTTTTTCTATTTTCAGTTTTCAATTAGAGTTTACATTCAATACTATTTTATATTAGTTTCAGGTGTACAGTATAGTGGTTAGACAGTCATAGACTTTACAAAGTATCTCCCCATATTTCCAGTACTCACCTGGCACCATAAGTAGTTATCGCAATTATATTCCATATGCTGTACTTCATTTTATTTATCTTCTTGCACTCCCTTTTCACAGAATTTACTTTACACCTATTATACCAAACAACATTTTAAACACTGACATATAAACTCACTAATAAGATAAAACAAAGACAAAAACATTTATCTTGTGACAAACAAGATACACCATCACTTATAGTCTTCAAACGTTATTGCACTTTAACTTTCATAATTTGACAATGGATTCATAAAACAATCTGCAGGCAACTAGTTTTAACAAATTAAAGAACACTTTTAAGCAGAAATGACTGCCCTAAATTGTTTATTAGGTAAGAAGTTGACAAACATTACTTATATTAGCAGTAAAGGTGGAGCTGGGAGTATTGTTATTTCTCCAAGCTGCACAGGGAGAATCACCAATAGTGTGGTGGAACTCGTGGCCCTTCCCAAGGCCACGGCTTTTGCAGATGTCAGCCCGCTCATCTCCCTGTGCTTGTGGACTGTTTTGGGTGTCAAGATTCCTTTTTATAGCTTTGTAGAATGGATCCATGAGGATAACCTCAAAGAATTTGTATGTGGAATATTCACCAACCCAGTAAGAATTCAGGATGCTCAGAGCCCCACAGTGGTGTCCACCTCACTTCTTGGCAACAGACTGAAGGCTTCAAGTAAACTGGTTGACACCATGATGGACAGGCTTGCTGTAGGTTGCACCATTAGCAACAAGGTATTTGCAGCCACCACTGTGCACACAAATCCAATATATGGCATAACCTTGTTTGGCCTTATATTCCAGCCTGTGAGCTTTATTGACCAGGTGGGGCTGAGGGCCCTGTGGAGTGCAGAGAGATGGCTGTAGTGCCAACAGTCCACCCTGAGAAGGAAGCGCATTGCATCGGACTGCTTCTTTCTCCATAGCTCCTGGATGTATTTGTAAGCATCCATCTTGGCTTATCTCTGAAATAAAACTGATGGCTGTGGCCAGACAGAAAAGCCCTATGCTATACTTTACATCCCCATGACTATTTTCTAACTATCATTCTGTACTTCTCAATCACTTCACCTTTTTCACCCTGTCCCCCAAACCCCCGCCCCTCTGGCAACCACCAGTCTGTTCTCTGTGTCTATGAGTCTGTTTCTATTTTGTTTGTTTAAATTGTTCTTTAGATTCCACAAATAAATGGAATCTTATGTTATTTGTCTTTCTCTGTCTGACTTATTTCACTTAGCATAATTCCATCTAAGTCCATCCATGCTGTCACAATGCTAAGATTTCATTCTTTTTTATGGCCAGTAATATTCCATTGTATTCCTGTACCACCACTTTTTTAAAATGTAAATTCTTTATTGTTTAAACTATTACATGGGTCTTCTTTTTCCCCCATTGACCTCTCCCCAGCTGCTCCCACCCCCCAGTACATGCCCTCATCCTCCTACTGTCTGTGTCCACTGGTTATGCTCATATTCATGCATACAAGTCCTTTGGTTGATCTCTTAACCCCTCAACCCCTCCCCCTCCCCACCTTCCCTCATAGGTTGGATGGTCTGCTCGATGCTTCTATGCCTCTGGTTCTATTTTTGTTCATCAGTGTATATTGTTCATTATATTACACAAATGAGTGATATCATGTGATATTTATCTTTTTCTGACTGGCTTATTTTGCTTAGCATAATGCTCTCTAGTTCCATCCATGCTGTTGCAAACGGTAAGAATTCTTTCTTTTTTACAGCAATGTAGTATTCCATTGTGTACATGTACCACAGTTTTCTAATTCATTCACCTGCTGATGAGCACTTAACGCTGTTTCCAAATCTTTCCTATTGTAAATTGTGCCACTATTTTTTTTTTCACACCAGCTTGAACTAAAATTAACCTCTAGGTACAATTAGCAGGGTAAGTATCCTTGAGAAAGCACATGTGTCCTTTAAGCAAGGACATGTCTAAGTAAACACCCAGGGGTTCAAATTTGTTTGGAAAAGTCAAGGTAGGGGGTGTCACCTTGGGCAAGGTCCCCCTAGAGGCTCCTGACCTTTTGGAGAATCCTCCTTACAGACATTCCAACCAAGTCCCATGCTTTTCTACATAGTCCCATTTGTTTATTTTATCCTTAGTTTCCTTTGCCTTAGGAGATGTATTTGTAAACATATTGCTACGAGAGATGTTTGAGATTTAGCTGCCTATGGATTCTTCTAGGATTTTTATGGTTAACTGTCTTACGAACAAGTTCTTTATCCATTTTGAGTTTATTTTTGTGTATAAGTTGGTGGTCTAGTTTCATTTTTTTTTTGCATGTATCTGACCAAATTTCCCAGCACCATTTATTAAAGAGGCTGTTTTCACTCCATTGTATGCTCTTGCCTCCTTTGTTGAATATTAACTGAGTGTAATGTCTTGGGTCAATTTTTGGGTTCTTTATTCTGTTCCATTGGTCTATATGTCTGTTCTTGTGCCGATACCAGGCAGTTTTGTGAACAGTGGCTTTGTAATATAGCTTGATATCTGGTATTGTGTACCACCACTTTTTTATCCACTCATATATTGATGGGTACTTGGGTTGCTTCCATATCATGGGTATTGTAAATAACGCTGCAATGAACATAGGAGTGCATATAGTCATTCGAATTAGTGTTTTGGGTTTCCTTGAATAATTTAACCAGAAGTGGAACCACTGAGTCATAAGACAGTTCTATTATTTTTTTAATTTTTGAGGAAACTCAAAAGTTGCTTTCCCCAGCGGCTGCTCCAATCTTCATTCCCACCAACAATGCCCCAGGGTTCCCTTCTCTCCACATCCTGGCCAACATTGTTGCTTGTTGATTTATTGATGGTAACCTTTCTGATACTTATGTAGTGATAGCTCATTGTTTTGTGTTGATTTCCCTGATGATTAGAGATATTGAACATCTTTTCATATGTCTATTGTCCATCTGTATGTCTTCTTTGGAGAAGTGTCTGTTCAGGTTCTCTGCCCATTTTTAAAAATGGATTGTTTGTTTCTTTGATGTTGAGTTGTTGACTTCTTTATAAATGTTGGATATTAATCCCTTATTGGATGTATCATTGGTGAATATCTTCCAATCGGTAGGTTGTCTTTTCGTTTTGTTGATGGTTTCCTTTGCTGTGCAAAAACTTTTTATTTTAATGTAGTCCCATTTGTTTATTTTTTTCTTTGGTTTCCCTTCCCAAGGAGATATATCAAAAAATATATTGCTAGAAGAAATGTCAAAAATTTTACTGCCTGTTTTCTTCTAGGAGTTTTATGGTTTTGAGTCTTACATTTAAATCTTTTATCCATTTTGAGTTTGTTCTTGGATATGGTGTACAAAGGTCCTCTAGTTTCACTTTTTGCATGTATCTGTCCAATTTTTCCAACACCATTTATTGAAGAAATTGTCATTATCCCGTTGTATATTCTTGCCTCTTTTGTCATAGATTAGTTGACCATAATGGTGTGGGTTGATTTCTGGGCTGTGTTTTGTTCCATTGGTCTATCTGACTGTTCTTGTGCTAATACCATGCTGTTTCGATTACTATGGCCTTATAGTATAGTTTGATATTAGGTAGCATGCTTCCAACTTTGGTCTTTCAAAATATTTCTGTGACTATTCAGGATCTTTTGCAGTTCCATATAAATTTTTGGATTATTTATTCTAGTTCTGTAAAAAATGCCGTTGTTATTTTGATGAGAAATGTGTTGAATCTATAGAACTAATGATGTTACCTCTTTCTATCCATGACCACAGTATATGCTTCCATTTATTTGTATCTTCTTCAATTTCTTTCTTCAGTGTCTTATAATTTTCAGAGTACAGATTTTTTACCTCCTTGGGTAAATTTATTCCTAGCTATTTCCTTGGATGCAATTGTAAATGGGATTGTTCTCTTAATTTCCCGTTCTGATAGTTCATTATTGGTGTATAAAAATGCGACCAATTTCTGAATATTTATTTTGTATCCTACTACTTACTGAATTCATTTATCAATTGTGGTAGTTTTTTAGTAGAATCTTTAGGGTTTTCTATATACAATATCATGTCATGTGCAAATAATGACAGTTTTATATCTTCCTTTCCAATTCAGATGCCTTTTATTTCTTCTTGTTGTCTGATTGCTGTGGCTAGGACTTCCAGTACTATGCTGAATAAAAGTGGTGAAAGTGAACATCCCTGTCTTGTACCTGACTTTAAGAGAAGTGCTTTTAGTTTTAACCCATTGAATATGATGCTAGCTGTGGTTTTGTCATATATGGCCTTTACTATGCTGAGGTATGTTCCCCATATTCCCACTTTGCTGAGGGTTTTTATCATAAGTGGGTGCTGGATTTTGTCCAATGCTTTTTTCTGCATCTATTGATATGATCATATGATTTTTATCCTTCATTTTGTTTATGTTGTGTATAACATTAATTGATTTGAGAATGTTGTACCAACTTTGCATGTTATGAATAAATCCCACTTGGTCATAGTGTATGATCTTTCTAATGCACTGCTGGAATCTGGTTTGCTAATATTTTGTTGAGGATTTTAGCATGTATGTTCATCAGGGATATTAGCTTATAATTTTTTTTATTTGTGGTATTTTTATTTGTGGTATTTTTGGAATGAGAGTAATGCTGGTCTCATAAAACTCTCCTCTTGAGCTTTTTGGAATAGTTTGAGAAGTGTAGATGTTAGTTCTCATTTGACTGTTTGGTAAAATTCACCTATGATGCCACATGGCATGAAACCAAAGCCTGACAGCAACCACATAATTGAATTTGGAAGTGGATCTTCTGAGGCCTGCCAATAGCCATGTAAAGGAGCTTAGATGTGGACATCCCACCCCAAATGAGCCTGCAAGTGAGATTGAAACCCCAGATGACAGCTTGAGTGCAACCCCATGAGAGACTGATCCAGAGGCACCCAGTTAAGCTATTAGTAGATTCTTGACTCACAGAGAGTATTATATAATAAATGTTTGTTTTATATAAATTTTAAATTGCTAAGTTTGGGGGCAATTTGTTATGCAGCAATAGATAACTAGTACATACTCTTTGATGCAGAAATTTCATTTCAATATACATATGCTAGAGCAGTTTTCCCCCCAAAGTTTTTCACATCAATGCAAATGTTTAAAATGATAATATGTATACCAGCTCACTGCTCTTAGCCAGAGACAACAGTCTTCATGGTAGCAGTTATCTTCCTGAAAGATTAAAAGGATCAATATATAAGAACATCCATTACTTAGCTGGGAAGCTCTGCCCAAGAAAAACTCTTCCATGTGGCCACAAGGAACCATGTTCATTAAATACCCATTTATAATAGCACAAAACTGAAACAACCCAAGTCCATCAGGAGGGCAAGAGAGGAAAGAAAATGGATAATT